AAAAAAAAAAAAAAAAAAAAAAAAAAGATTTCCAGAAGGCTTGCCATGCCATGATTGAAGCTTACTTGAGTTCTCGTGGATCACTAGTAATTTACAAGGCAGAGACTGGAGATTTGCCCTCAGAAGGGAGTTTAGAGCTGCATGAGGTTAAATGTAACTTTTTAGTAAATTTATTTTAAAATGATGAGGTCATGAGTGAATTCTATAAAGTTAGACCCAATAAAGGATTTGGTTTTTTCTGTGCAAGTGAAATAGCCTTTTGTTTCTGTTCTGTCACCACTAACTCATGGATTTTGACAGTCCAAAGCCCTCTTTTATTTATTTTTTTTCCAAAGCCTTCTTTTAAAAAACAAAAATTTAAGTGTACGGTGAAATACTTTTTCAAAAAAGGTCTCAGGTACAAGTGATGGCTGATAGAGCGGTATATAACACATGATTAAGCATAAATGTCAGATTCTCAAATGGTAGTATCCGTTGATTTTGTTTCTTCTAATCCACGTTTTTAATTCCAGCACTCTGGCCATGGTGGTGCAATAGCTGGCAAGAAGAACAGAACCTGGAAGAACCTGAAACAAATTCTCGCTGCTGAAAGGGCATTGCCTTGGCAACTGAACGATCCTAACTGTGAGCTGTCTAGAGTCTTCCGTGTGTTTATAATGCTCAGACTAGGAACTCTTACAACAAACCTGTTATTTTATGGGGTTCCTGTTATTGTAGGAAATAGTTTCAGCCTGAAAATTTTATAGTGGCTTCATTCGGGATATCATGTGCTTATTTTCCCTTAACCGTTATCTGTGTTGAATCTGCTTGTGTTGTCATGAGGTTGTTAGTGTCACTATGAAATTTCATTCAGGAGAAATAGGTTCTGATATGTTAGTATTGATACTTTTATTAGAAAAAGTTATTATAAAAAGCCTATTCCTAAAATTTGTTTCCAGAAACAAAGTAGCCCACATCTAGTGCCAGATTTCTGAGGGTTTCCAGCACCCAGCATAAAGGCCAATGCTTTTGCTGTCTGAGCCAGTGCCTTTCAGAGTAAACACTTTCTGATTCAAGATGTCCAAATCTGTCATCTAAAATGCTGTTTGATGTCTGTTCAATGTCATTGGGAAGTACAGGTTCAAAGATCCCTCTACTTCCTGACCTGCTGTGCATCTCTCATGGAGGTGACTCAGATGGCTGAGATGTAAGCTAGTCAGTCAGAAGGGTGTGGATGTCTGGGTGCTCAGATCCAGTCAGTGGATTGCTTGGCATTTCATCACCACCAACCCGTGTAGACGAAAACTGCAAAAGTAGCTAGTGGATAGATAAGCTTTCCCGAAGTTCTGCTAGAATAGAGTCCCTGGTGACAGGGCAGGGCTAGATTTGGAGCTAGCCCTTGGTCTATGACACATTGCACTATTTCTAAGATTCCTCCTTTACTTCTCTGGTTAACTCCCAAGGATTCTGTGAGTACATGAGCAAGGAAGAAAATTTTAGGAATATTATCAAATGTTATTTTTTAAATTTAGCTTAATTTGATTTTTGTTGTTGTTGTTGTTTTTGAGACAGGGTCTTGCTCTGTAGTTCAGGCTGTCCTTGAGCTCACTATCTAGGCCCGGCTAGCCACAAAATCATGGCAGTCCTCCTGCATCAGCCTCCCAAGTGCTGTGATTACAATCAAATGTTATTTTAGAAAGAAAGAGAAGGAATTAGAATATCTTCAGGCCAATTTAGTCATCTTTTTCTTTTTTTCCAGACTTCAGTATTGATGCTCCTCCATCCTTTAAACCAGCTAAGAAGTATTCTGATGTTTCAGGCCTTCTTGTGAGTACAATTACATCTCTATATGTTAAACACTAAATTGAAAAGATTTCTATCTAGTCAGTGTTCAATATGAACCACCAGTGATTCTTCCTGAAACCCATATTCTGTGAAAGTAATGGGTTTGCACAAGATGTTTATGTTGCAGCTTGTGTTGGAAGCCTGGAAGGATGATTGCTTCAGAAAGCAGGAGATGTGAATTTTACTTCCTTAAAAGAAGAAACTATTTTTTTTACAACTATTTTGTTCTTCATTACTGAAGTTTTAAAAACCTACATTTTAGATGATTGATTGTACTTTTAAAAATATTTAGAGTTGGGGTACAGTCCAGTAGAAGAGCACCTGCCCAGTGTACTTGCCCTGGGTTTGATCCCCCACCACTGCAAACAAAAACAAAAATCCTAAAATAACTGCACTGTGAAATAGGAGCACTGTGAAAAAGTCAGTCACATTCAGACTTATTTTGAAGCACCAGAACCCCCTTTCCAAATGAAATATTTTACAGAATCTACGTATCTAGAAGGGCTGAGTTAGCTACCCACTGTGGCCCTGTGTAGATATGGCCTAGCCCCACCAAAATGACCCCTCAGGTGCTCCTGGGATGCAGTTTGGAAGCCACTAGCAGAGCCAAAAGAATGGGAATGAGGCAAGTTGCTGAAGCTCAGGAGCTAGAGTACCTTGTTTCCTTATTTGCAAAATGTAGAGCAGTTATAGAACCTGTAAAGATTATTTCCAGCTCTCCTGTTTAATCTTATCTTCATCTCTTGTAAATTTGGAAAATGGAACTTTCTCACAATTATAGAAATGAAGCAGCCACTTTTTAAACTCACATGCACATCCTTTAAATGTGTGATTTAATGAAAATGTATGACTTCAACTTCTGTAGCAAACTGACCAAATTAATTACTTATATCATACAAAGGAGAATTGCCTCCTGTGTCATTACATAATATCCCAGTCATTTTCATTGTTCTGAAGTCTATGTTAATGTAGCAACATGCTATGGTTTGGGTATGATTTGTCCCCAAAGGTACATATATCATAAACTTGGTCCCCAGTATGGGAATGTTAATGCAGCCTTTAAGAAGTGGGGCTAGGGTCTGGGGATTTAGCTCAGTGGTTCTGCCACCTGCCTTGCAAGCACAAGGACCTGAGTTAGATCCCCGGTACCAAAAAAAAAAAAGAAACTAACAAATTGTTTTGGGCCTGGTATTTAGCTCAGTGGTTCTACCACCTACCTTGCAAGCTTAAGGACCCGAGTTCGATCCCCAGTACCAAAAAAAAAGAAATGGGGCTAAACGAAGGTAATTAGATCATGAAGGCTTCACCCTCCTGGATGGATTAAGTCCGTCTCTCAGGAGTGGATCAGGGCTGGGTCTGGTCTTGTAGAGTGGACTCGTTTCCACAAGAGAGTGTTGTTATGAGAAGAGCAGTGAGACTGGTCTCTTGCTTGCACATGTGCCCCTTCTGCACTTGGCCAGTTCCCTCTCCACCGTTCTGTGGTATAGGTACACGGGTATTGTGCTGTTTGGACTGTTTAGCTGCAGGATCTTGAGCTAAGTGAACCCTTTTCTTTATACAGTGCCAGAGTTTTTTTGGCTTTTGAGGCAGAGTTTCCATATGTTGAATGTTTACCCTTTTATTTCCAATACACATTTTAAAATAATCTGAGTCTATTTTCAAATATTATACCACTTCATATATAATGTGAAGCTCTTATAGTACTATATTTTTAGATACAGTCTTTTGTCCTTTGTGGTTGTATAGTTTACTTTTGCATATGCTTTAAGCACAAAATAGTTGCTATTAATTTTTGCTTTAATTTTCTTTTAAAGAAATGAAAATAAGAAAAAACATTTGTTTTCCTTTCATTTATTCTATTTCTGGCTTTTTTCATTTCATTGTGTACGTCTGATTTTCAGCCTAATATCAAATTTGTTTCTGTCAAATGACCTAATTTAGCATTCTTATAGAATAGATGTACTAACATCAAGTTTCTTCACTTTTTGTTCAGCTAAAAAAGGATTTGTTTCTTCTTTATCTCTGAACAATATTTTCAGTGGATACAGAAGGCTGGGTTGACACTTTTTTCTTTTGTTCCTTTCTTTCTAAATGTTATCCTTTTAACTTGCATGGTTTCTCTTGAAAAGTCTGGTGTAATCTTACTTTTGTTCCTCTCTAATGTTTATTTTTTATTTGACTACCATCAAGATTTTATCTTTATCTTTTGTTTTTAGCAGTTTGAAGATAACCATGTCTAAGTAACATTTTTCTGGTATTTATTGTACTTGATGTTCTTAGAGTTTATATGTCTGTGGTTTAGTATCTGTCATGAGTTGTAGAAAATTCTTATTTTTTCACATATTTCTTTTGCCTTCTCTTCTTCTGGGATTCCAAATATATGGTTGTTAAACCATTTAATAGAGTCCTAATAATTCTTGTATGTGCTTTTATTTTGTTTTATTTTGATTTTTAGCTTTTATTTCTTTTCAGTCCTATTTGTGTGATTTCTATCAATGTGTCTTCAGGTTATTTCCTCACTATATTGAGTGGCAGAGAGCCCATTAGAATAATTCTTCATCTCTGTTACTATTTTAATTTCTGGCTTTATTTGATTCTTATAGTTTTCATGTCTCTGGTGAAATACTTACTAGTTTTACATACTGTATTTCTTTTAACTCATTTAACATATAAAATGTAGTAGCTTTAAATGTTCTGATACTTTCAAAATCTGTCATACCTAGGTCTTTTAAAACTATTTGGTCACTAAATATATATGTACAAATAAATATAAACTACGTATACTTATATATGTGACATATATATTATATTTATTTATATTCCTCAAAAATGTATAATAGCTGCTTTAAAAATGCTTTTTTACTATCTCCAACATTTGGTTCATCTTGTCCAGTTTCTGTTGACTGCTTTTCTTAACTATGGGTCATGTTTTCCTATTTCTTTGCATGTCTAGTTTTTTTGCATATCTAGTTTTTTTTTTAGTGTATACTGGACATTGTAAAAACTCTAGATTTTGTTATCTTTTTCTGAATAATATTGACTTTTCCCCCCCGTAGGTAACTCAATCAATGACTGATCACTTTGAGTAGATACAGGATTTGTTTTGCCTAACTTTTTTAGGACAGGTCTATGTAAAGCCCAAGATGGTCTTAAAAGTCGTTTAACTAAGTTGCACTTAATTTCTAAGCTCCTTATCCTCTGCTTTTATTTGGGGACTGGGGAGGGGGCAGTACTAGGGATTGAATCCAGAGCCTTCACCCTGAATTATCCCCAGCCCTTTTTAAATTTTGAGTCATAGTTTCGCTAAGTTGCCCAGGATGGGCTCACACTTGTGATCCTCCTGTGTCAGCCTCCCTAAGTACTGGGTTTATATGCATGCATCACCATGCCCAGCTTCCTCTACTAATATTATTGCTGTTTGGTGTTACGCTTTATTTTGATGGGACTAGAATAGGCCTTACGTTGGGCAAGGTTTTTACTCCTAAGTTGTAGCTTTTCTGGTCTCTTATCCAGAGGCCATGAATGTTGTAGAGGTCTCTATTCTGGTGGGGCTGGAACTTCATGGACTCCCAGCACTGCTCAACCTTGCAAGTCTGTGTTCCTTTATATCCACTTTCAATGATGATTTATGCAATCCTGCCATGAGCATGCATAGCCATGGCAATCCCAAGAAGACTTACTCCTGTCTAGTGCAGCTCCCCATATTCTCATGCCCAGCTTGCAGATTCCATCTCTTTGTTTGTTTGTTTGGTACTGGGGATTGAATTCGGAACCTTACACTTGGCCAGGTAGGTGGTGGAACCACTGAGCTAAATCTCTGGTCCTAAAAGTGGTTTATCTTGGTTCATGATTCTGTCACTGGAGAGCTGGGTCCTGATGCCACAAGAAGCCAGCTCTTGCTCTCCTTGATGCTTTGTTGCTTTTTTTTTTTTTTTCTTTTCTTTTCCAGTATCAGGTATCAAACACAGAACCTTGTGCTTGCCAGGCAAGCACCAGCACCAATGAGCTAAATCTCTGGCCCCCCATCTGTTTCAGTAGCCCCTAAATCTGGTCTCTGCCTCCATGCTCAGTGGATCCACAGTATTCTGTAGAACTCTAGCTCCCTGCCCCATAGTCAGAAATTATTGTGGCAGAGTGAGTGGGGTGATCCCGGGTCTCATCTTGTGAACTTCTCTTTTCATAGTCATTGTAGTCTTGTGCTATCTCTTGTACATTGTCTGAAAATAGACAATGTATTTGCCCCATTTTAATAGTTGTTTATGGTAGGAAAACTAGTATGGGGCCCATTATTTTGTTATGTCAAAGTATAAATCTCTCCCTGTGTTGTTTTGAGCCTTGAGAAGCTGTGATTTATGGCTAGATATAGAGGCTAACCCAGCAAAGGCCAGCTTTATCCTCTCCATTTCAGTCGCCTTTCCTGCTAGTGCCTTGGTTTTCACCTGGTAGGAAGTGAAACTATTGTTAAGAAACACTATTCTAGGCCTCTTTCTGCTGTCAGCAGAGGACTTGCCATGGTACACATGACCTAGAAACCTCTTGCCCCACTGCATGTGAGAAGTAAGAAATTCTGAACATACAAAGAACTCCTCCAAATCATTGAATGACAGTGCCATAGAATAATTAGCAAAAAATAACAACATACAATTATAAGACCAGAAAATACAAAGGCCCAACAAGTAGGTATTTGATTTCACTAGAAAAAAGATTCAAACAGGGAAAGAATGAAGACATTTGATTATATATTTTGACACCAACATAGCGAATTAGATATGCTCTTATATTACAATTGTGAGATGGGAATGTGCTGTCATACAGCTTCTTTAAAGTACAACTGGCACTGTCTTTTGACATGAAAGGCAAAATCCTATGAGCTACAGTTTTCCTTGTAGGCAGCTCCCTCAGAAATAGGATGCAGAAAGAACTTCACTCAGAGATACTTGTAAGATACTGCATTAGCAAAACGCTGGAAACAGCCTAAAGGTGTATCCCAGGGATATTTTCATAGTATTTTGTGAGATGGATGCATATTTGACAACATGGGTAAAGTTCTAAGATATGTTGTTGACAGAAAGATGCAGAGCAATGTAAACAGTGTGGTATCATTACATAAACACACACACACACGCAGAGCACACATACTCCCACAGTAATTTTCTTGAGTAATTTCTCTGCAATGTTTATATGTCTCAGGATATAAATTTTAAAAGTGTAGAAAAGTGCCCACATAACAGTGCTTTCCTCAGCACAAGGCAAAGGACTTTTGGGTGGAAGGTGGTGACAAAGGGGTTAGACTTTAGGATTATTTGTAATGTTGCAACATTTTTAGAGGCGAACATGGCTCATGTGTTACTTGTATAATTTAAAGTTATGTAATTAAAAAGTAAACCTAGCTCGTGTTTACACTGACACACCTGTCCCCAGCCAGCCCTGTGATTGTCTCCCCTGTGCTTGTGCATGGCAGGAGGCATAAAATATGAGGGTTCTAGGTGAAATGGAAGCTGTGAATACTGCTGCTCTCACCCTGCAGCAACAAACCCTAAAGCTGTTAACAAAGCCTAAAGCTGTTTACTGGTTGCCCTATAGAAAGGTGGCCTTTGATTCATCTAGGTTCAAGCGATGGGATCAGGAGAATGGACTGTAGTTAAAGTTTTTATTTCTTCAACTCCGGAGTGACACTTGGTATCCTTCCTTCTGTTCAAAATTGGGTGCTGGCTCCTGGGTCAGGTCCAATTTGTTCTAATTTGGAGGTTGGTTTTTTGGTTTTGGGTGACCTTTTTGTTGATGCCATGGGATCTCTGTATTCTGCATTGTTTGTTCAGCAGCCTTCTTGGCAGTGAGGTCTGGACTTGGACTGGCCGGCTCAGCACAGTTTGGTGGTGGGAGTGAGGCAGCCACAGAGTACAGCCAGGCCGCAGCTGGTTCATCTATGAAGTCCAGATGATCCAAGCCAGATGCGATGCCTGTACCCAGCTCAAAACTTCAGGGCAGCCTCCCTGCCACTTAATTATTCCAACGGCCTCATGGCCTGTGCCCTCCCTCAGAAGAAACTTGTTGCTGACTTTTTAATTAAGCCTTCCCTTATCTTTAATGACAGATTAAAGGAAATGTGGTACAGAAAAGTAATACTTAGAGCAAGCCAAAGGATCAAAGTTTTATTTTATAGTGAGCTTTAATTAATCTTAGCTTTTTAGGAATAAATCCCATTTTCCTGAGTACTTCAGGGAGATCCCCAGTGGCAGGATTGAAACTTTTTAGAACATGAGAAACCTATGACTCAGTTCCCTCTGGCTTTTTGCTTCTCCTTCAACAAAGCACAGAATTATTGAGAACCTGGGCCCACACAGATGACAGCAGTGGAGCAGACAAGCCACACTTGAGTAATTGGACATTATCTGTCTAGACTTTAATGGTATCTTTTATAATTTTTTAAAAGAGCATAAAATTACTCACTGGTGTGTTTTCTTTTTCAAATTCTATAGAAGCCATGTACTTTGAGATACATAGTAAGTAAAAAATTTTTTTCCTACTTCACACATGGAAAAAACATAGAACAAAAGAGAATTTTGATGTATCTGGGAAAGAAATTCTCTTTTCTGTGATGGTCCTGATCATCTGTTCATTTGTTCATTCATTCATTCTTCCATTCACTTATACATACACTTGACTGAAATCTCCCTATGCACTGTTCAGTGTGCTCTATGGGCTGGTCTACCATGATAAGCAAAGTATGGTCCTTCTTGTGGAGCTAAACCATAGGCAGAGTCAGTGACTCTCAGAGCAACAAAGATGAGCATTGCACCAGAGAGCTCTGTGTCCTATGAGAGCATAGATAAGGCTTCTCTGAAGATGTGGTTGGTTTTGAGGCTGAGCCCTGAAGGATAAGCAAGTAATTACTGAACAGTGTGGGCCAGACACTGGGGTTGGGGTCTCCATCAAAGAATTTATGAATGGACATGGCAGGAAGAGGGATTTAAAGACTGGGGTGGTGGGATTTAAAGGGAGCGGGGATGTGTGGCCCAGAAGGAGAGAGGCCCAGAGCCTAAGGAAACACTCTGAGGACTTGGGCTTTTTTCCCAAGAGCAAAGAGGAGCCATTTTGAGAGATTTCATGCTGAGGAGTGACATGATCAGAATTATAGGTAACAAAGATGACCCTGCGTGCAGTCATAGGATGACCCAGGGAGCTGTGGAAGTGATAGGGCATGCATGACCTGGAGAGGAGTGCATGGGGGCAGATGGGATGCAGCAGGGAGGGGCCCAGCATGCACTGGGGCATCTGCTGCCCTGAGGAACAAGACCTGGAGTATTTGTTGGAAGGGACAGGAGGTCTGAAGGCAGAAAGGGATGACCATCATGAATTCCATCTTGGATCTGGTGCTGTCAGCCCTTGAGGCAACAGAAAGAAGGGTCCTGACAAAGAAGTAAAAGCAGCAAGTAAACATATGAAAAAAAGGTTCCATATCACAGGTCATTCAAGAGATGCAGATGAAAACAACACTGAGATTCCACCTCACCCCACAAAGAATGGCTGCTATCAAGAAATCAATCAATAACAAGTGTTGGCGGGGTTGCGGGGAGAAAGGAACCGTACTCCACTGCTGGTGGGAGTGCAGACTGGTGCAACCACTATGGAAATCAGTGTGGAGATACCTCAGAGAGCTGGGACTAAAGGTTCCATTTGACCCAGCCATCTCTCTGCTGGGTATCTTTCCAAAAGAACTAAAAGAATCATATCACAGTGATATATGTACACCTATGTTTATAGCGGCACAGTTTGTAATAGCTAATACTTGGAAACAGCCCATTTGCCCATCCGTTGGAAGCTAGATAAAGAAGATGTGGTTTTTCTATAAAGTGGAATACTATTCAGCCATAAAGAATGAGAAATTAGTTTCATTCATAGGAAAATGGATACATACTGAGGATATACTCCTAAGTGAAATAAATAAGTCACACGTGTGTAAATACTGAATAGTTTCTCTGGTGTGAAAAACTATAATAGTACATAAGATCCTAATGATATAATTGACCATGTGAAATAGGAAGAAAAGTGCTAAAGGTGTAGTGAAAATGGGAAGGGTAGGGGAAAGGTAATAAGGGAAAAGAAAAAAATAATGAAAAAATGGAAATAAAGTGTTTGTAAATGGGGAGGGGAGGAGGGGGTGAAGGGAGGGCAGGGACAAGGGGAAAAAAATGAGAACCAAGACCTGTCATGTAAAGGTACACGATCCCAATAATGAACATAGTTGTACTGTATAACTTAAATGTACCAATAAACTCAATAAAAGGAAAAAAAAAATCTAAAAAAAAAAAAAAAAAAAAAAGAAGGGTCCTGAGTCTGATGTGGTTCTTCCTCAGGTCTGTACTCTGAAGTATTTCTCAAGTCTTGGAAAATTAACAAGTCTTTGCCAAAGTGAGCAATTTAGTGTTCGTGATGACAGTAAAACAACGAACATATTTCACTTCCAGTAAAATAGAAGAAAAAATTTAAGCTTGTGATTCAATGAAAATATCACTAACAATAACAACTTTCTGTCGTTCCCTGTGCCTATTTCTTACCCAGGCCAACTACACAGACCCACAGAGCAAACTGCGATTCAGCACCATTGAAGAATTTTCCTACATTCGGAGGCTGCCCTCTGACGTCATCACTGGCTACCTGGCCCTAAGAAAGGCCACTAGCATTGTTCCCTGAGCCTGAGAAATGGAGACAAAGTGGAAACTCTTTTAAAGGTGGTCTTGGGACTCATGATTTTGTTTCGTGGAAACAAACTTATTCTGCTGTCAATCTGAAAATGTCAGTTCTGTGCCTTGGAAAGAATGTTTGGCTTTAACTTAGGAGTTTTTTCTGTGTTTTCCCTCCAAGTGTGATATTTCCTGTTGAATTAAATTATACTTCAGTTATTGCCTCAAGTAAAATTGCTTGACAAGAAAATATAATAACACTGTGCTTTTTATTTAACCCAAGAAAGTCCCCAAATTTTTGTTTCCAACTTGTGAACTCTTGTCTAAAATTTAAAGACTCTACAGTGAATCCACAACAGGTCTGCATTATTCTTGATCCCAGTGGCTCCCTTTAAGAGCATGTTAGTCCTTCCCTTGGATCAGAATGCTTGGAAGAGGGCCAAATTGAAAACAGAGAAGAAAGAACTGAGCAACTCATCCTGTTCCACTGGGCCAGCCCTGGTCCTGTGACTCAGCTTCTCTCCCTCTCTGGAAATGTGGGAATCAACAGTGGCACTCTCTGTCTGAAAAGGAGTCTTGTGTTGGTACAGAACTGTTGTGGTTTAAATATGAAGTATCTCATGTATTAGAAGCATGCTCCTTGACCTGGTTAAGATCTAGATGTCCCCTCCAATCTCATGTATTCAGAGATGAGGCTTTTGTTTTTTCCACTTTTCATCCTTCAAATTCTTCTTTCTTTCTTAAATTATTTTATTGGTACATTTTAGGTATACAATACATTATATTCATCATTGGGAAAATGCACCTTTACATGATGTGTCTTGGTTCTTATTTTTTCCCCATTCTCCTCCCCTCCCTTCAACAGCTGTACCCCTCCCTATTTACAAAGATTTTGTTTCCACTTTTTTTTTTTGTTTCCCTTCTTTCCTTTCCCCAACTCCTCCAACTTCCCCTACCCCTTTGGACCTTTTCTTCCTATTTCACATTGTCAATTATTCATTTTAATCCTTATTTACCCTTTCAGTTTCTCACACCAGAGAAACTATTCAGTATTTATAAATTTATATCATTTAAGAGTATGGCCTCAATGTGCATCCATTTAGCTATAAATGTCTCTAGTTTCTCATTCTTTATGGCAAGTAGTACTCCATTTTGTTAAAAAAACAAAAACAAAAATAAAAACACATCTTCTTTATCCAGTCTTCAGTTTATGGGCACTTGGGCTGTTTCCAAGCTTTAGTGATTACAAACTGTGCCACTATAAACATGGGTGCACATATATATCGCTGTGGTATGATTCTTTTAATTCTTTTGGGATGATACTCAGTAGCTAGGTTAAATGGGACCTCTAATCCTAGTTTTTGAGGTACAGAGATGAGGCTTTTGAAAGGTGATTGGTTCATGATCCATTGATGAATTAGTTCATTTGCTGTTGGGAGATGGGGCCTGGTTGGAGGGACAGATATATATATCTTTGGAGAGTATATCTCCCTGCATGCCTCCTCCCTTCTCACTCTGCTTGCTGGCTGCCATGAGGTGAGCAGCATTCCTCCGCCATTCCCTTCCACTATGCTGTGTCTGCATTGGACCCAACAAAATAGAGACAATCCCCTGAGCCAAAATAAACCTCACCTTTAAGTTGCATCATCAGGTAATTTTTTCCAGTAAAAGGAAAGTGACTAATCCAGTCCCCAGTGTAACATGTTTTGGATCATGAGGGCTCCAACTTCACCAGTGACTTAGTCCCTTGGTAGATTCATGATTTGATGGAATTATTGGAAGGGGAAAGAAACTCAGGAGGTGAGGCCTAGTTGAAGGGGTTAGAGATTAGCTGAAGGAAGCATGTCCTTGGGGACTATATCTTGCCCTGGCCCCTTCCTCTCAGTCTGTCTCTCTCTTCTGCTCTTTTCTCATTCTAACCTCTGCTTCCTGTCTGCGAGGTAAACTACTTTGCGCCACCATAGGCCCCCACCATGGTGTTCTGCCTAATCACTGGCCCAGAAGCAATGGAATCAACTGACGGTGGACTGAAATCTCTGAACCCATGTGCCTCCTGGAACCCTCCCCAGGCTTAAAGAAAAAACAGCCACGTCAGCTGGGAAAGCAACCTGCTGGCAGATGGCAACTACCCGAAGCCTGGAGTCCCTTCCTCCGAGTGCAGCAGCTTCTTCCCAACCGTAAGTCATTACAACTGAATGGTGCTATGTAGTTTCTCCTTTTCCCACAAGAAAGAACCCGAGGTGGCCAGGGGAGGAGGGGAAGCTTTCCTAAGCCCATGGAGTCTCTGGTGCCAGGGTTCTCAAACCTGATTGAGCATCAGGATCATCTGAGGGCTTGTGACAGATTAAGAACCTGTCCCCAAGTGTTTGATGCAGTATGTAGTTTGGAGCTAGGACTGAGAACCTGCATTTCCAACAAGTGACACTGAGAGGTTGACTTTTGGTAAAATTGAAGAACTCTGAAAGACCAGAGGCTGCTGCTTGGCTCCATCCTGGCCCCTGCACTTCCTACCAACTTGCATCCTAGGAAAACCCCCAGCTTCCCTTTCTGTTGAAACAAGGAGAAGTTAAGCCAAGGGCCCTTCCTGCTTCACTTCCATCATCCATTATGTGGAGAAGACTTGGAGCAGAGCCACTTCTTTTCCATGAATACCCCCAAGATGGACACTTTCAATACTGATGCTGGATTCCCCCTCAGACCTACCTATTCAGAGATTCAGAGAAGCCTTGCCCTGCACATGCCCTTCAGGGAGGGCCCTCAGGCTCTTGTTCCCACAGGCCTCTCAGAGTTTCTGAGCGTGTGTTCTATGAACCCTCTGTGAGAGTCACCTGGGGATGTGCTAAAATGCAGACTCCTAGGCCACACCCGAGACCTTCTGACTGACCCAGGGAGTGGGGCCAGGAATCCATCTGACAAATATCACAGTGTGACCATGGTGTACACAGGAGAGTGAGGGCCACAGGAGTGTGAGAAGGCAAGCTTGGGAGATGAGCACCTTGCGTCCCATGCTGTGTCCCACCATGATTTCCCCATGGGCTTTTGTTTTTTTATTTCTGCAGGAGAGCTGTGCACTCCAAATGTCAAGTCATTTCTCACCCCATGCTCCAGAGGTCCAAGCAGAGCCAAATAGAGCTTCAAGCTGTGAATGTTTCCAACATGAGTCTTACAGGTTTGGGTACCGATGATAATCAGTCCTATGCTGATACAACCATCGGTGTCTATGTTATTACCCAGTGGTTCTCAGCTCTGTCTGCCCACAGGACTCATCTTTGGGGTCAGGAGAGATGAGGGTGTCTTCAAAAATACCCAGAGAGTTTTTGGAGATTTTGTCAGCTTTATTACAGTATAACTTGGGCTGGGTTAAATTCACTAATTTTAATTTATGATGCAATGAGTTTTGAAAAAGGTACATAGTTGAGTCTCCATCAAATTCAGAATTTAAAATCGCCATCATCCCAAAATGTAGAAGCTGATTTATGCATGTGTGTCTATTTGTGTGTGGGTGGGGGTGAGGCATTGAACTAAGGGCCTTCACACTGAGCTACATCTTCAGCCCTTTTTTATTTTTATTTTGAAACAAGTTCTCAGTAGGTTACTCAGTTGCCCAGGCTGGCCTCAAACTTTCAGTACTGCCTCAGCCACCCAGAGTACTGGGATTACAGGCATGCACCACCATGCCTAGCTAGAAATTTTTTTTTCGTTTGTTTTTTAATCATTCAGAGTTTTAATGAAATATAAATGGAGGAGCCATATGTTTCAAGTTTGCTTCATGTTCATATTTAATTTGTTACTAACTAAACCCATTTCCTTAGTTAAAAAACAAAACAAAGTCAGCCAGGTGTGGTGGCAAATGCCTGTAATCCCAGCACTCAGGAGGTAGGAAGCAGGAGGATTGGTACAAGTTTGAGGCCAGCCTGGGCTATGTAATGAGTTCAGGGCCAGCCTGGAATACATGGACCCTATCTCCAAAAGCCAAAGAACCAAAAGAAGCAAACAAACAAACAAACAAAAAAAAAAACAAAAAGCAAACTCAGACTCTGATTTAAGTGGGCTGAACGTGGGCCTGAGTATAGTATATTTTAAACTCTTTTAATGCTTTCAATATGCAGCCAGTAGTGAGGACTCGTGCTCTAACCACAAAGAGAATATCTCACATAGAATACATTTTCTATTGGCAAATCAATCAGTTTTCTCAATCTCAGGGTTATGGACAATTTGACAGAGGTTTCAGTTAGTGTGTAGTGTGTGTGTGTGTGTGTGTGTGTGTGCGCGTGTGCGCGCGCACACTAGTTCAGTTTTCACTACTATAATTGAATACCTGAGCCAGGCTAATTTTATAAATAGAAGAGAATTTTTTTAGATCACAGTCCTGGAGATTTAAGGGCATTGAACTGGCATTGCTTCAGTTCTGGTAAGGCCTTCTTGGCTGTGTCACGTCATGGCAAGAACACTTGAGAGAGAAGAGGTCACATCGGATAAACAGGAAGCAAAAGAGAGCAACTGGGGTTGCTCAGTTCTTCCATGGGCATGCTGCCAAACCCAGGGACATCTCACTGAGCCTCATCTCCTGCAGGTCCTACCTGCCAACATTGCTACCCCGAGGACCAAGCTCCCAGTGCTTGAAGCACTGGGGGACGAATAATGTTCAAACCACAACAGTGTGTATTTAGCATCCCTTTTTATGGCATCCCATGCTGGACTCAGAAATGTGAATGTCATCATGGTCTCCTCCCTCTTTCACCTTTGCATCCCTGCACACATTTACTTGGCCCCCAAGTGTCTGCCTCCTCCTCTCTCATGTTATCCTCTTACTCTTCCACTTGACCCTGCTCCAGCCTGACTTCAGGAGTGCCTCTCCCCCTACTCTGACATTTCCAGTGTTCCCCTGCCCACACTTTGTGGCACTCTGACCCCATCCCTCTGCTTTCCACTATGAGAGCAAGTTGAATGACTCTACCTATCATGATATGTCTTCTGGTAGTTTGTCACTGACTCCTGGTCAATTCTGGCATTGACCTTGAGGGTCCAAAAGATAAACACAACCCTAACAAGGAAAAAAAACTAGCTAAATTTGAGAAATCAGATTTTCTTAAGTCCATACTAAAATCCAATATGCTCTGACTGGAGTTTGACTTTTCCCTAATATTGATAAGCATCTTTATTGTAAGAGAGGAGAGAAATCTAGGAGTATTTTTGAACTACCTGTCATGTTGGAAATTTACTTTCCAGAGGGGTGGGGACAGTCCCTGCAGGTAAAGGAGACCCAAGATAAAGCATGCATCTGTCCAGACTTGGAATGGGGCATGCTAGAGATTAGGCCCAAGGCCTTCACACTGAGCTACAGCCTCAGCCCTTTTTATTTTTTATTTTGAGGGAAGATCTAAACTGACCAATGCAAAATTGAATGTCATTGTTCTACCCCAGCTTCCCATAGTGTGGGATTACAGATGTACTCACTGTCCAGATTTTGAATGTGAGTTGTAATTGATTTGGAACCTGATAGAGGGTCAAAAATGTTTTTGATGACAAATCTCTGTTTTCTGAATCCATAGCTCTTGGGAAAAGATATAAGAAATGTGATACTGTTCTTACTGGCAATATCTGTGAGGTGGGAGTATTTGATGAACTTCGTAAAAATAAAGGGTAAAGAAGGAAACTGATGGAGTATGGAACTTGACCCATCATCAAATAGGACAGACACCTTGGGGAGAGA